TATTCGACATATCCAAAATGCACAACACATAGCCAGATGGCATTCACAAAACAGAATGGAAAGATGGAACACCCAAAAAGCACTAATATCATAGGACACAATGCATAACTTTATCAACTTCCACAACAAACCAACAACCAGATTTACTTACCCTAAACAATCTCAGAACAAGGCCTTCAAAATTAAATTACTATTAGACGAACTCCTAACATTTCTCAATCTCAATATATGCAATCCCAAAAAATATCCTAGCCCAAACTGTCCAAGATGTGCAACCACAATTGAAACCAATATACACTGGATCTTCTGTCCAGCAAACATCACAACAGCCGCTCAGATTATTCAACAGATGATCAGAAAGTCTGCACCAAAGCACAAGTCCACAAAACAACTAGGGATGTTAATCGGTCCTTAGGGATCGGGTCCTAGCCGGTCTGGTCCGATCCTTTAAGGATCGGCAGGGATTCGGTCTTTAAATCACGTGAGAGTTATATAGGATTTAGATCCCGGATCTAGTCCCTATAAAAATCCTATGATCTGCTTTGTTAAACGTTAAAACACCCCACTGCCTTCACTGATACAGAATATTTTTTTTATAAGGCATACGCTTTTTAATTTTGAAACTTTATGGTTCCCACTTTGAGTGTTTGGCAACACAAGGTACGATTTTAAACTAACTTTAGAAGAAAAGTGATATGTTTAAGAAATTAACCATCTCTGGATTTAAAATAAATATAGATGATAGGTGAGTAAAAAAAACTTATAAAAGTTAAAGTACTAAGTATTTAACACTAAAAGGAGTATTACTCACATTTTTCAACTAACTAAGTTGGTTGAGCTATTGACTAACCTTATTGTAGTTTGAAAATTTAAACAGTAATGAAGGCCAGTATGCCTTACCATCTTCTTCACTAATGACAAAGGCAATATGATATGCCTTAAAAAAGTTACATCTCCAGCATTGAATATAAATAAAAGGTGAATTAAGCTTATAAAAGCTAAATTACTATTAATTAAGAAGTATAACTTATACTTGTTTGTGCTCGTCTTTAAATTTCTGTATAATAATTAAAGCACCGTTTTAAAGTAAACCATCCTATAATGATAAAGACAAAGGCGATATGGCTTAAAAAAGTTTATCAATAATGAAATAACAAACAAAATTATCTCATATGATAGAAACAAAAGCCGTACATATTAAAAAACCCAATAATTTCCTGAGTTAAATCTTTAGTAACAAAGGCAGTATACCTCTCTTAGTAAACAAAAGCAATGTTGCAATATGTTTTAAGACGAATGCGTTTTGAATTTTATTATTTAAAAGCCTCAAAAAAAAAAAAAAAAAAAAAAAGGAAAAAAAATGGCAACAAGTGAATTTGAACCCCTCATAGAAACTGATCAGTTTGAATTCGAAGTAATAAGTAAAGAATCCCCTAGTAAAGAAACCTCTGTAAGCGATGAAATTGCATCCGTGGCCCCAGATAACATAAATAAACCCTCTGAAAACAAAAAAAACTACGAAAAAAAAAGATTACACATGTGCAAAACTGAGCACCTGTCAGAGATTACCTTATGGAACTTGACGATGGTGGTAATGAATGCAAAGTGTGTAAACAAATATTCGGAAGCCAGACTGCAATATCAACCATTAATCGGCATTTTGAAGCCTTTCATCCTGCAAAATTTACTCTAATTAAACAACATAGATATCAACGGCTTGACCCTTATGGTCCAAATAAAAAATATAAGGTGGACAGTTTAAATAATAAATTTTTAAAATGGGTGGTTGTTGATCAACAATCATTTTTATTATCTGAAAATGCAGAATTCATTAAATTTTTACAAGAACTTGATCCCCGTTATCGTTTTCCCTGTCACCAAACACTCTCGACTTGGGTTAGTCAAGAGTACATAAATAATAAAAATAAAATTAAGTTTTTTTTAAATAGAATTCAATCAAAAATTTCAATTATAATGGACGGTTAGACGTCGTGTACGCAATAGCCCTATATTGGTGTGACTGCGCATTGGGTAGATCCTGAGTGGAAAATGCATCGAATCTTACTTGACATGATCCCATTCAACGAAGCTCATACTGCAACCAACTAGGCCAATATGATTATTGAACTTCTAAAGGAAATAGGCATTGGTCAAAAACTTCTAGGGGTAATAACCAATAACGCCGCGAATATGCTTGCAATGGGGCGTGTCCTAAAAGAAAAAATGAATAATGAATTTAGTAATCCAAATGTACAACATTTTCATTGTGGCGCCCATGTTCTCAATATTATTATAGAAGAAGGAATTAAGTCTGTAAGTAAAGAAGTTTCTAAGATATGTGAGTTCTCTATGAAGCTTCGAAACTCTCCGTCTCTAATTCGAGAATTAAAAAAAAATTTTGAGTTGAAAAACGTTCCATTTTTAATGCCTGAAACGGACGTAGATACAAGATGGAACAGTATGTACATTATGTTAGAGAAACTTCAACGAATCCATCCCATAACTGATATCCTTGTAGCGAGCAACCAAACTTTAAAACCAAATTATCCTAATGAGCAAGAATAGAAAATTATCTTGGTTAGTAATTTTTAATTTTTTTTTTTTATTATAAAATACACTTGCTTTAATCATGTGCGAATTGCTAATTCTTCTTGAACCCATGTACCATGTGACCATAATGCTGTCTTCGTCCACATTTCTTACGCAAGGTGACTTGCGCATGATATTTCGTGGCCTTATTATACATCTAAATAATAATGAAAATCCAGAAATTAATTCACAGCACGCTGTAGCTAGTGCAATGAAAGCAAAATTTACATCATATTGGGCTCACCTAAATGAATTATCAACAATTTCGGGCCTTCTTGATCCGTGCAATAAACTTTCGACCTTCGACATTTATGAACGTGAACAAGCTATTA